AAAATACCAAAAAATAGTTCTTTCTTTATTTTTGTATTTTAGGAATTAACTAACTATTCAATTGGTGAATTAATCTAGTTAATTGATTATTTGAATAAGTTACTTAATTAATTTATTTGTTTGTGTAAATTTAGTTTAATAAGTAGGATTAAGAAAGAAATTGGGCCAAATTTGAAAGAGAAAGTGGCCAAAAGTGCAAGATAAGGGTTTGCCCTTGAAAGGGTCTGAAACGACGTAGTTTTGCCTAAAAACTACGTCGTTTCATTAAGTGACCCAAGATCAAATCTCACCCATTTATCACCCCTTGATCTAATGGTCCATATTTGATCTCTCAAGGGGTATTTAAAGCCTCAAAAATTTTAAAAATTCCCTCATTTACCCCATAACTCTTTCTCTCTTCTCTCTCTTCTCTCCGCCGCCGCCGCTCGAAATCACCCACCGGCGGCGGACCACCTTGAAATTAACACCATGTAATCTCCACAACCTCCTCTTCTCATATCTCCAAACCAATTTNGCAAGATAAGGGGCTGCCCTTGAAAGAGTCTGAAACGATGTAGTTTTGCCTCAAAACTACGTCGTTTCATTAAGTGATCCAAGATCAAATCTCACCCATTTATCACCCCTTGATCTAATGGTCCATATTTGATCTCTCAAGAGGTATTTAAAGCCTCAAAAATCTGAAAAATTCCCTCATTTCCCCCATAACTCTTTTTCTCTTCTCTCCGCCGCCGCCGGAAATCACCCACCGGCGGTGGACCACCTCCAAACACCTCCAAATTAACACCATGTAATCTCCACAACCTCCTATTCCAATATCTCCAAACCAATTCCTTCAAAACCCCCTCAAACTTCTTGAATTTTAGATCTAGGAAACTTTAGCCGCCAATTTTTGGTCCAAATTCTTGAAGCTCCGGCCAACACCACCCTACAACACATACATGAATGGATAGAGCTACACGAGACCTATCTTTTCCTACCCATTTCACCCCTAAAATCCCCGTCGCCGCCGGCCCGCTCCTCACTGTCGCCGCAGTTCCACTGCCTCACCACCGCCAAAATGCTACGAACCCCCATCTTAGCTATTTTTCGACTCAAAGACACTCGTTTCTTTTGGCGAGATGCTGAAACTCATTTCGTTCTAGCATCTACCCAAAAGAAACATGCGTTTCGGAGTCGGGCAGTCACCTTTTAGCATCTCCGGCGTCTTCTCGTGGCTCGAACGGTTTCAAGCATACTTGTTAGGTATAATCGTCATCTCTTTAATTAATTTCTGATTTTTTATATTAGTAGATTAGTTTCTGATTTTTAATTTTTCTATTTTGGTTGTTTCTTGTTAATTAGAGTTTCAAGTTAGGTTTATTTAATTAGTTATCTCTATCTAGTTTAGTGGTTTGTTAGATTTGTTATTGATTTAAACATGATCTTTAGTGTATTAATTAAATCGTTCACGTAGTTAGTCGATTATTTAGTTGTTGTTAGTCGTTGTCCGATTGTTAACGATACTCGTTCTGCTTTGAGCATTAGTTTGTGACTTTAGTTGTTTGTTTAGTAATTAGTTTGCACAAATCGAATTCATTCCAATCAAGTTGGTTTGAATACTTAGTTCAATTATGTTTTTAGTCTCGTTTATGCTTTGTCAGTTCATAGTTGTTTAAGTTTGATTTGTGTTGAGAAAGTAGTTTGTTGTTGATGGTTAAAATCTAAAGTTTAGTTTATTTTATCACAAAATAGGGTAATAGTAGCCTACTTTTACTAGTAGGGTGGCTGAAATGACATTTTTTGTCCTTGCTTCTGATACAACAAACTTTCAGGTTGTCCTTTCATCTTTGGGACAAATCTTGAACAGTGTTTAGCACACAAAGTCAGTCTTTTTCCCAAAAAGGAACTTTATTTGCCTATTTAAGGGGCTGCTATTTCCTCACTTGAGAACGGGGATCACACATTTGTCGGGCAGTCTTTACACCCTAAAAATACAACTTGGAGAGTAAAAAAATCAGCAACTAAAGGACCCTTTAGTAAGCTGAAATGGTGAGCTTTGTGAGTAAATTTTAGAGTGCAAACTTTTAGAAAAGTATAAGTCTTCTTTAGAGCTAATTCTGAGTTTCTTCTAAGGTTTTCGGGCTGTTTAAAAACGAAACTGCTGTTATTTTCTGCTTGTGTTTGCTGCTATTTTTTTTTTCCTGCTGAGCTCTATTTCTTCACTGCTGTATTTATTTTCTGCAATCCAGGTATTTTCTTAAACTTTGCAATGCAAATTTTTATATTCAATGGATGAGGATATGGCTCTTTTTCAGCTCTATGGATACGCTTGATGTGCTTTACTAGAATAAATGAATATTTAGCATGTTATTCATATAGTTATATTTCAGCATGTACATCTGTAATATTTGATTGATCTTCCATTTTTCTTTACATGTGTTGCTCAAATAACATTATGTTAAGTGTATCTAGTTAAGGAAAAAAAATATCTTTTAGAATTATTATGTAGAGTTTAGTTTCCTTTTGCCTTGGTTTTATGTATTTGTAGTTTTGTTATTTTAATTTTTCTCTTAGTGCTAAAAATAACTGATAGTAATACTTCTCTTCTTGGTTAAGTTGAAATGAAGTTGGGGAATAGTATGTGATGAGTGTGCGGGAGGAAGGAGAGAACCAGTGAAAGAATTTCTTAAATGTGTTATTGCTATTTTGAACTTCTGTTTGGTTGAGCTTGATGCATATGTTTGTTTCTCAGTTATATGTCTAGAATTCCATATTCATTAATGCATTATTTTTAGCTACATGTCCTAGTTGGGTTTACATTAATTTTAAGAATATTTTAGGCCACTATCACCTTTGGTTTAAATTTGCTGGCCATTTTTTTTAACATCAAGGCTACTGGAAAATTTGAATCTGTCAAGTTTAAAATAGTAAACAAGTTTTGACTCAGTCTTTTAAACACTGGGTTTCTTTATTAAAATGCTAGGCAATTAGTAGGCGTGTTTTTAACTTCACGGAATCGCTTGCGTAGCATGAAGTTTAACATTCAATAAATTAGTTCAATAACCTCACACCATAACCATTAGTTTTAGTTAATTCTTTGCTAAAATTGTTGATTCGTTTGCGTAGCGCGATATTAACTTTTAATAAATTTCAAAAATAATAATTTTCTCAAATGTAGTAATTTTCCCAAAAGTCATAGTGTGCTAATAATCCTTGTCATGACTACGCATTCGCTTGCGTAGTGTGATTACGATATCTTGTTATTCTTTATCAATTCTAATAAAGCAAGTATTAAAAGCGGATAGGTAAAACATAAAAATCATATAAATCACAGTTTGTCCAAAATTAATTCAAGCCAAGTTTTAAGTCAATAAAGCAACCGTGCTAGAACCACGAAACTCGGGGAATGCCTTACACCTTCTTCCCGGTCAACAGAATTCCTTACCTGAACTTTGTTTTCGCAGACCAATAATAATAGAGTTAAACCTTCCTTTAACTAGGGATTCAAATAAAAGGTGACTTGGAACACCCAAAAAAAATTAATTCCAAGTAGCGACTCTGAACAATAAAATAATTCCTACTCAAGTTTGTCACTTTAATTGGAAAAACTCTTTAACCCACAATCAAAATACATTATCATTTTGGGGTAGAAAAGGGGTGTGACAGCTCTGGCGACTCTGCTGGGGATTCTTAAGAATTCGAGCTCATACAATTACTTCATTTGGCTTTATTAATTTTTGTATATACTGTGATTTATTGGGGCCTAATGTGCTAGTTGTTCGCTTTTTACCACTTTGATATCGCAACCCTCTGAGTCTTCTGATAATTAGTTATGTTGCGTTTGCCTACCAGCATCACAAAATTTCTGTCTTGAGATAAAACCAGTTAGCCTACCAGCTTCTGGTGAAGGATTTAGTCACATATGTTTAGGCGGGAGAGTCGTTAGCTAGCCAGTGCTGTTCTATTACTGGTGACGCGTGACACTCCTCGGCTCGGGTTGTCCGCCCGGGTAAGCCAGGTCCAGATACCATCTCCTTTAGGATTTACAAACTTAGAAGAACAAGCCACAAGCAATGAATATCCCTAGTAGGCTACGCTTCATTTGCATCATGTGCATTTGACTTAGTAGCGCTCGACACAAGGGCCGAGTTCTATTTTAGGACAGGCCTTGTTGAGACCATTATGTCATGTTATGTGCTACTTGTTGCATTATTTGGGAGGCTTGCATGTCGACCGACTTTAGCATAAATCAGTTGAACGAACAGAGAAAATATGATGTGGTCTAGTGCATATGGTTTTTAAAGATTAATTTTTAAAAAAAAATAAATAACATAGTCGATTTTAACCGAACTACGCGGGTCTGATTCTCACCGGATGTAAGATACGTAAGCAAACCTCATCGGTTCCGGCCCCTAATTTTCAAAAAATTCAAAAAGATATTTTCCTTTAATTCCTTCTTTAGAAGTGTTTCTTTGAGACGTCAAATCCAAAAATCCAAAAATATTTTCTTCCTTTTAAAAAAAAAAATTAAAATCCAAAAATATTTTCTTTCTTCTTTAGAAGTCTTTCTTTCACCAATTCCCAAAAACAAATTGAAAATATTTTCGTTGCTAGGAGACTATTTTATCTATTTTATTTATTACGTTTCTGACTACGTAATGATCTGATTCATGCGGCGACATGATACGTAGACAACTCACAAAAGGTTCGATCAAAATATTTTTCAATGATTCTAAGATGAGGGATCAAAATGAGGTGTGAGTGAAAAGAAAAAAGGAGAGAAGAAGATAAGAGCGTCAATAAGAAGCAACCTCATAAGTCGGAATGAAACATGAAGCCTCCAAAAGCATGTTAGAAATAGTGACAATGATATGAGCATGGCACATTACGTGTGATTTATATCTATAATATGCTTAACCCTAACATGTTTGTTGTCTCTTATATAGTAAGCTTAAGGTGGTTGGTTTGTGGTGAAACTGGCAACACACCATTACTTCACCAGAGCTAAGGGAACAGTAGTAATGGCCAACGATGATGAGATCGAGCTGATCAGTGACGACCCCCAGGGCCAGTCAGTTGAACAAGAGTCGGAAGAAATAAGAAAATTGAGACAACAATTGTCTGATGTATATCAAGCTTGTGTGTCTGGTCAGCCTCCACCCCGAGGTCCCCCAGAGGGAACTTCCATCGTACCCCTGGCTACTCAACCACCGCTCTATGCAACGAGCGACCATATTCTACCACCAGGGTATGTGCCAAACTACAGCCTCCATGCTGCTCCTGGTACCTCTAATGTGCGACCTCTAGTCGCACCGGTCAGGAACACTCCTCTAGTTATGTCTGGCGCACCGGTATACACAATCCCGACTCCACCTCCTGTGACAAAACCAATAAACGAGCAACCATCTCATGTTTATGATGGCCAATACTACTCTCCAAATATGACTTTCGGGGTCTCGGCTTCATACAATCAGACTCCTCAGTACGAGTCACCAGTGGAAAATGAAAAGCTTGTAAAGATGATTGAGCCGGATGAGATGGCGAGGAAAATGAAAAGTCTTAAACAGAACATAAAGAACATACAAGGACTAGGTGGTCACAAAAGTGATTTGTTCAGTGATTTATGCATGTTCCCTCACATCCATTTGCCACAAGGGTTCAAGACCCCAAAATTTGAGAAGTATGATGGACACGGTGACCCTATCGCCCATTTGAAAAGGTACTGCAACCAGTTGAGGGGTGCAGGTGGAAAAGAAGAATTGCTGATGGCTTATTTTGGGGAAAGTCTTGTGGGGGTAGCCTTCGAATGGTTCATTGACCAAGATATCTCTCACTGGTATGTCTGGGATGACATGGCCCAGGCCTTCGTCAAACAATTTCAATACAACATTGATATTGCGCCGGATCGCAATTCTCTGTCCAATATGAAGAAAACGCCGACTGAAAGCTTTAGGGAGTATGCAATCAAGTAGAGGGAGAAAAAGGCTAGAGTTAAGCCACTCTTGGATAACCACGAGTTGATCACTGTTTTTCTGGAGGCCTAAGAGCCTGATTACTTTCAGAACATGAAGTCTGCAATGGGTAGACCTTTTGCGGAAGCGATAATAATAGGAGAAATAGTTGAAAATAGCCTCAAGACTGGCAGAATTGTAGGTCAAGCTGCTCTCAAAGCCACCTCCCAAGCTATCCAAAATGGGTCGGGAAGTTTGGCAAATAGAAAGAATAGAGATGAAGGGTCCATGATGACTTCGGGATCCAGGGAAGTTCAAAGAGGGGCATCGCACCTTTATGTGCAAGTTCAGCAGGGGCAATCCAGCTACCTCAACATTACTATCCCCCGCCAATTCCTCAGTACTCTGTGGGACCTCCACAGTATACAGTGTTTAATGCTCAATCCTATACTCGTCCTCCCAATCAACAGGTACGGGCACCAGCTCTATGACTCCCCCGACCTCAGCAGCAAAATTTTCGGGTACCCTACAATTCTCATCCTAGGCAGGATTATGGTCGAGAGCAGAGGCCGGTGGAAAATTTTACTCCATTGGCTGAATCATACTCTAGTCTGTTCCAGAAGTTGAAACAGATGGGCGTGATTTGACCCATCGCTCCCCAGCATATGCATCCCAATTCATATGGATTTTAAGCAAATGCTAGATGTGAATATCATTCAGGTGCTCCGGGGCATAACACTGATGACTGTTGGACCCTGAAAAGAGCCATAGAAAGACTCATTGTTGAAAAATTGATTGTAGTCACGAATGGCGAGGACCCTCCTAATGTGACCAATAACCCGTTGCTAGTACATAATGATGTTCATTTTGTGGGAATGATCGGTCGAGATCAAGAATACAAGTTGGTTGGCCGAGCAGAAATTACAGTGGGAACGATTCAAGAAGGAACAGGACTGGAAGTAAGTCCAAGCCAAGATGTACCATTGATTGTGAAAGGCGCCCAGAGCTCAAGGAAGGCAACTTTATTTGTACCAAAAATCTCGAGGTTGGAAGTTCGCTCCAATGTTCCAAGCCCAAAGTTGTATGTCCTTGGAGGTCACCCCATCACAAAGCAGAATCAGGGCGGTACGAAGGGTATAACAGAGCCAATCATAATCAAACCTTCCATACAACCCCGTGTGACAAACATGAAAACCATTCCTTGGAACTACAACAAAACTGTAATAACCTACAAAGGCAAGGAAATCATAGAAGAAGTGGGGGAAACTGGAGGTTTGACTCGATCAGGGAGGTGCTACTCTCCAGAAGAGTTGAGGAAGGCCAAGCAAATCAGAGAAGGCCTAATGCCAATAAAGAAACCTGTCACGGAAGAAGAGGCAGAGGAGTTTTTGAAAAAGATGAAAGTTTAGGATTACTCAATCATTGACCAGTTGAGAAAAACTCCTGCCCAAATCTCTCTGTTATCTTTGCTCATACACTCAGACGAACATGCTCGTGTACTAATCAAAATCGTGAACGAGGCACATGTATCAGAGAAGACCACCGTGAATCAGTTAGAGAAGATGACCAACAGATTTTTGAGGTGAATAGAATCTCCTTTGCTGATGATGAACTTTCCGAGGAGGGAGCTGGTCACAATAGGGCTTTGCACCTGATTGTCAAATGTGAGGGGCATTATGTGAAGCGAGTCATGGTTGATGGAGGCTCGAGTGTAGATATATGCCATCTCTCTACCTTGCAAATCATGAAGATCAATACAGACAGGATCCGACCCAGCAATGTTTGCATTCGGGCTTTTGATGGCTCAGCGAGAGATACCATTGGGGAGATCAACCTCACCATGACGATCGGGCCTGTTGATTTTGAAATTGTCTTCCAAGTAGTGGACATGGAAACTTCTTATAACTTTCTTCTTGGAAGGCCATGGATCCATACGGCCCGAGCTGTGCCATCCATCATGCATCAAATGCTCAAATTCGAGCACGACAGGCAAGAAATTATTGTTCACGGAGAAAACGAGTCATCCATTTATAAAGACCCGTTAATCCCATGTATTGAGGCCAAGGAAGGATGTGAGTCTATTGTCTATCAGGCTTTCAAAGTGGTTGTTGTGGACCATGTTGAGGAAGGAAAGCCCATACTGCATCCTCGTCTCTTCGCCATATATGTAATGGTGGTTGCACTTATGATGAGACAAGGTTATGAGCCAGGAAAAGGCTTGGGGACATCAATGTAAGGAATTTCAGAACCCATTTCTCCGGTCAGTAACACGGGTACTTTTGGTTTAGGTTTCAGGCCAACATAAGCAGACGAAGACAAAGCCAAGCACCGCAAAAAGCATGGGTGGGTCTTGCAACAACCTATCCCTCACATTTTCTACACTTTTGTCAAGCCACGATTCAAAGAGGGTCAAAATTCCTCGACGCATGCAAACATTGATGAAATTTGCCATGGCCTCAGCCAGATATTTTCTGAAGTGAATATGATCCAGGCTGGTGAAGGCACTAGTCGTGACGATATGCAACTAATTGGCCTAAACACCATGCTCAATAACTGGGAAGCAACTCCTCTCCCCACAAGGAAAGAGTCTTGGTAGTTGACTTTTGCAGCTTCTTTCTTTTGTACTTTGGGTTACTTTCAGGGTTGTAATCCAAATATCTTAGTATGATTGTTTTATTTTGACGTTAACCCTTCTATCCTTTCAAATTCAATGAAATACAGTTCAGTTTCGTATTAAATTTTCTATCTTTTACTTTTCCTAATTCCTGCCATTTTATTTCCATTTGAGTTTTGTTAATGCCGGCTTTAATAACATGACATGCATGCGGAATTCACGCCCAGATCTCAAAAAGTTGTCTAATTTCGAAATAATGCATCAAGAGATCAAATATGATGAAGATAAGGTTGTTGAGGAAATAAAAAGAGAGTTGGAACAATTTGAAAACAAGCCTAGGCCCAACCTCAATGAAACTGAGCCAATTAATATCGGAGGTCATGAAGAAGTCAGAGAAACAAAGATAAGCATTCACACTGAACAAAAAAACAGATATGCCTTAATTCAACTTTTATTTGAGCATAGAGATGTGTTTTCTTGGTCTTATGATGATATGCCAGGTTTAAGCGCCGATTTAGTGGTTCATAAGCTTCCCACGTATCCTGAGTTTCCACCAGTCCAACAGAAGCAACGTAAATTTAAAACGGACATGAGTGATAAACTAAAAGAGGAAATAATGAAGCAATTGAGCGCCAATGTTGTCAGAGTCGTACGATACACCACCTGGGTGGCAAATGTTGTGCCTGTGCCAAAGAAAGATGGAAAAACTAGAGTGTGTGTTGACTACAGAGACTTGAACAAAGCAAGTACGGAGGATAATTTTCCTTTGCCAAACATCCACATTCTTGTAGATAATTGCACAAAGAATGAGATATAGTCGTTCGTGGATTGCTATGTTGGGTACCACCAGATTCTAATGGATGAGGATGATGCAGAAAAGACCGCTTTCACCACTCTGTGGGGTACCTATTGTTACAGGGTCATGCCATTCGGTTTAAAGAATGCAGGGTAGACTTATATGAGGGCCATGACCACTATTTTTCATGACACGATGCACAAAGAGATTGAAGTATATGTCGATGATGTCATCATAAAATCAAAGACGCAGGCTGATAACGTGCACGATTTGAAAAGGTTCTTTGAACGGCTTCGAAGGTATGACCTTAAATTCAATCCAGCCAAGTGTGCATTTGGGGTTCCATATGGGAAACTCCTCGGTTTTATAGTCAGTCGGAGAGGCATCGAATTAGATCCATCTAAGATAAAGTCCATTCGAGATCTGCCACCCCCGAAGAACAAAAAGGAGGTCATGAGTTTGCTCGGGAGGTTGAACTACATTAGTAGGTTCATTGCTCAGCTCACAACCACGTGCGAGCCCATCTTTAAGTTACTGAAAAGGGATGCTGCAATCAAGTGGACGGACGATTGCCAAAATTCTTTTGACAGGATCAAATATCTATCAAAACTCTTTGTACTGGTCCCACCCGAACCTGGTAGGCCTTTGTTTTTATATCTATCGGTGATGGATAATTCCTTTGGATGCGTTCTGGGGAAACATGATGCAACAGGAAAAAAGGAACAAGCAATATATTATTTGAGCAAGAAGTTCACCAATTATGAAGTTAAGTACACCATTTTAGAAAGGACATGTTGTGCCTTGACTTGGATCGCTCAGAAGTTGAGACATTATCTTGTGGCCTATACTACTTACCTCATATCCATAATGGATCCTCTGAAGTATATCTTCCAAAAGCCAATGCCCACTGGCAGGCTCGCAAAATGGCAAATCCTGCTCACAGAGTTCGACATCGTCTATGTCACTCGCACCGCGATGAAAGCACAGGCTTTGGCCGATCATTTGGTAGAGAATCCAGTTGATGATGAGTACAGGCCACTTACCACATACTTCCCAGACGAAGAGGTAAACTCAATAAAGGAAGTAGTTCCAGACGACATNCGACAACCCTGTATGGAAAATGTATTTTGATGGAGCTGTCAATATCAAAGGAGTTGGGATTGGGGCAATCCTCATCTCACCTATTGGACAGTATTACCCTGCAACGGCCCGACTTCGGTTCTTCCGTACCAATAATACGGCAGAATACGAAGCCTATATCATGGGTTTTAAAATGGCCCTCGATCTGGATGTGCATGAACTATTGGTTATAGGAGATTCTGACTTACTTATCCAGCAAGCCCAAGGCGAATGAGAGACTCGAGATATCAAGCTTATTACCTACAGACAATGTGTACAAGATTTGAGAAAAAGATTCAAATCCATCGAGTTCAGGTACATTCCCAGGTTTCACAATGAGCTAGCTCGTGCTTTGGCTACTTTAGCCTCGATGCTCCCTTATCTGGGAAACACTCATATCGATCCACTAGAAATCCAAGTTCGGAATCAACACGGTTACTGCAATATAATTGAGACAGAACCAGATGGTGAAACATAGTATCATAACATAAAACGATTCCTGAAAACAAGAGAATACCCAGAGCATGCCAACGAAGATCAAAAAAGAACTATAAGGCAGCTCGCCAGCGGTTTCTTCCTAAATGGGGAAATTTTGTACAAAAGGACCCCAGATTTAAACTTGTTGAGATGCGTAGATGCCACAGAAGCTGAGCGGATCATGAGTGAAGTGCATTCGGGGGTATGCGGACCTCACATGAATAGATATGTTTTGGCAAAGAAGATTTTGTGGGCAGGGTATTATTGGCTTATAATGGAGCGAGATTGCTTCAATTTTGTTCGCAAGTGTCACTAATGCCAGATTCATGGTGACCTGATTCACTTGCCACCTTCGGAGTTGCATCCCATGTCCTCTCCTTGGCCTTTCGTTGCTTGGGGAATGGATGTTATTGGGCCAATTGAGCCAAAAGCTTCAAATGGGCATAGATTCATTTTGGTTGCAATTGATTACTTCACCAAATGGG